TGATTCTCGTCGGGCCCGTTTAGTAGCCCGGGTAAATCCTGCTTCCACCGAGTCTTCTAGAACGCTCTTTGTCGCGCTACTAGACACGTCCTCGTGCTGAGGCGTTTCCTACGCGTTTAGTGGGCCGAGTAGATTGTCACATCGGGCTAAGCTTCTCCATTTGATGGGCCTTGTGGAGGGGTATAACCCATCTCCTACACAAGAGCAGAACAAGAAAGCTGTCGAGCAGCTTCTTGATGGATCACTCAGAATCTTGGATCTGTGCAACATTTCCAAGGATGCTTTGTTGCAGATGAAAGAGGGTCTCATGGAAACTCAGTCGATGCTGAGAAGAAAGCGAGGAGATCTCTCAGGAGAGGTCAAGAAGTACTTAGCCTCAAGAAAATCCATCAAGCAGTCATTGCAAAAGTCCCTTAAGAGTTTGAAGGTCAAGCAAGACCAAGTGAGCAACAACGAATCTTTGATCGTGTTTGGAGAAGCAGAAGCTATTACAATTGCTCTGTTTGATTCTCTGTTTTGCTTCATGTCTGGATCAAAGACATGTAGCAAATGGTCACTCGTCTCAAAGCTAATGAACCAGAAGAAAGTTACATGTGAAGCACAAACAAATGAATTCACAAGGGCTGACACAGGATTTCAATCCGAAAAGACTTTGAAGATGGAGGATGTGCAGATCCTAGAGTCATGCATTCAAGATCTTGAAGATGGTCTAGAATCTCTTTCCAAGTCCTTGATTAAATATCGAGTCTCAATTCTTAAAAATCTCTTTCCAAGTCCTTGATTAAATATCGAGTCTCAATTCTTAACACCTTAGGCCATTAAAGCATACAAATTTTGTAGAAAAAAAGTAAATATAGTTACGGGATCTCTCTTTTTATCTCATATACAGTATAACCTCTTTAAATTAATAATCTATAAATTAATATCTCTATAAATTAATATATTTTCACAGTCCCAAATTGAATTTTTGGTTCAATTAATATCTCGATAAATTAATAATCTCTATAAATTAATAAAATTTTTAGTTTTAGTGTAGTCCCAACATTATTAATTTATAGAGGTTTCACTGTATAACTGTTATTGTGAATACAAGATCTTTCTCATATATAACTCTGTTATTGTGATATCTCTTTTTTTTTTCACAAATGATCATCGATGAACCAACCCCTTCCAAATTTGCAGTAACTTCATAGTTTCTTACCCTCAAATTTCGCTTTTTAATCTTTCTCTTTTATGGCAGAGTAAATTAATCAACGTTTACTTGTTCAACAAACATATCATGTGGCATCTCTGAACCTGTACACGGTTCTTTCATATTAAAGTTAACCCAAAAAGTGTTAAGTAATCCATATGTATTTGTTAACATGCCATGATCTGTGGATACGGATCTTGACACCATTATCACAGTTGTCTAACTATGCTTTCTTTTGATTAATATAATCAAAAATTCATTATGCAAACGTGTACACACGTAAAGGCTTATAAATATTCACAAAATGTTCAGACGTAGGAGACAAAGCCAAGCTGGAACTGGCAGAAGCTATTAAGAGTGCTCGTGCAGTTACGCATTTTGTAAGATAATAAAAGTTTTACATCAGCAAAGATAATATTTATGTTATTTGATAAAGTGTGTGATATGCACACAATATACTTGTTGATCGCTATCGCAAAAAAAAAACGGTTAAGAGAGTACGCCAAATGTACAACTAAACCGTATACAATGTATCTATAATAAACCAATAGAAGAAGTTAGAAACTTTAAGCTAATATCACTCAAAGAAAGAAGCTGAACAAAATTAGAAACTTTGTTTTCCAAAAGCAGAGAACCAAACAAATATCTGAAAGAAGCAGGAGAAAAAGAGACGAGTTATACCTTAGCTGGAATTTTCGGCGAGGATACGTCGAAGGTTTATGGACGCGTCGACAGAAGAGGATCAAACTCTAAAAGAGTGAAAAAAATGTGGTTCTCTCGCCGCAACTCATGAGAGTGACAATGACGGCTTCTGTCTTTTCTATCTCCAAGTACTTGACCACAAGTGTTTATACCACTGATCCAATGGGCAATCTAGTATCAAATTTAGTCACTAACTTGGACTCAGTCCTACCTAATTGAACACCCCCCCCCCCCACCAATGGTATATTGGACCACTACGAGAACGAAATCACCCTAGACCCGAAGTGATCCATCTCTTGAACCTCTTAGATTCGACCTCGAGCACGAGAACATATACTAAAACCAGAGAGTACAGAACTAAACACGAAAAGACATTTCTTAATCAAGAAAGTGGTACCAAAATATAGGCATAATGTTCATGACCCCTTTGCATCTTCACGAAAGGCGCGTTCTTGAGATAAACTCATACCCCTGTTGTTAGATGTTCGGTCCTCATCCATAAACTAGGCACAGAGATCCGGACTGAAAAGCTGGACTCAGCGACAGAACCTGTGATGGTTCAATAGTTTATCTCCAGAAGTACAAAGCTCATAGCACCGGAGAACACGAACCAACCTTCTTCGATGCTGGGATGCAGCATCTCCGCCACGTACCGTCGTGAGGCGAGTACCTCTGGTTGACAACTCTCTTGTTCGAACCGAGTTTGGTCTTTTCAGTGAATAAGTGACTGGACTCGTCTGTGGTTATTTCAAAGGCGTTCTTTACTATTAAGATTCGAAAAGTGGTTTTATTAATGAAGGAGTTCGGTTACAAATGAGGAAAGGAGAGGCGAGGCGGAGTCTCGCGGAGAGCTCAGCCGTGCTGTAGAAGTCAGAAAGAAAGTACAAGAGTGAAAACCCTAATTCTAGCCGCCTTATGAGTAAAAGTTATTTCGGATCCCCTCCTTGTTGACCTTTGCCCTCCTTTTATAGTGCTTTTCGTCTTGACCTAATGAGCTGGTCACTTGCGTGGAGGGCTTTCACCAAATGGGCCCTAGCCGACCCATCAAGGTAAGTGTCTCTCCTAAACGTCGTTAATTCAGATAATCGCGGGGGTTATCTGATCTAAACCTGATTAGTCGTTAACCAGCGATGCGCTATCTCGCTGGGCTGGAGCTCGTATGGGCCGGGCCCATTATTCAGTGGGCCTTGTAAAGGGGAGTATTCCACCACTAACAGTAAGCCCCCCAGACTCATTCCCGAGTTGTGATCTGAGTCGGGACGGGTCTTGTCTATCCGGTCCGTCTGAATAATGGATTCGATCAATGAGCTTTGATACTTCCGCGGGCAGTAATTCGTCACGTTTCTTAGCTTGGAGCTTGGTCATTAGCTCGAGTGCATATGCTTGGTTGTTATCTCAGAGCTTAACTTCAGTGTGTTTACTGAGTCGTTAGCTCGGGGCTTGACTTCAGTGTGTATGCTGAGTCGTTAGCTTGGAGCTTAACTTCAATGTGTATGCTGAGTCGTTAGCTTGGAGCTTAACTTCAGCGTGTATGCTGAGTCGTTAGCTCGGAGCTTAACTTCAGCGTGTATGCTGAGTCGTTAGCTCGGAGTTTAGATTCGTGAACAGTAGTGAGGAGGTGGACAGTCTTTCGGGATTTTAGGCCCATTTAAGCCAGAATACGAACAGTCGTGAGTAGACTAAAGGCCCAATTAGGCCTCACTAGACCTAATTAATGACTCCGGGAATCGCACGCCTTCCTTCTTCTATAAATACTCCTCTTCTCTTCATTCTCACCATTTCTCCGTTTTCGCAGGCATTTCCTCTCTCCCTTCTCTCTACTTTCTCTCTCTAGGCTGTTGTACATATATAAGTTTTCTGTCGGTAAGATGTGCCCGCGAAAGAGATTGACGCGTGAGGAAAAGGGAAAAGGGGTTGCTACCGCGTCGAGTCCTGCTCAGGACGAAACAACCGGCGAGCCCCTGGACGATTTTGGCATAGAGCATCAGGAGGCGTTGAGGGATTCGGCCGGTCTTGACCTAGCTCAGAGGCTTTTGGTCATCGACTCGGAGAGGGAGCTTAGAGGCGAGAATGATGGAAATTTTGCTGCAGAGATAATGAATGATCCGCGAGTGATCCGTCTAGGTCTTCGCCACCGTGTAGATCTCGCCCTGCTCGGTCCAGGCGGGCTCGAGCTGCTCGAACTAGTCGAGCTGGCGCCATCTCGGAGGAGGAAGATTATCGTCCAAAGGTTCCAACGCGTTACAGCGGCATGGGGGTCTTCGAGCGGGAGTCCGCAGTTCCCCGAGATATGCTCCGTCCTGCTGGTTCACAGTTTTGGGTGAAGACCGAGAAGACAAAATCGACTGTAAATTCGGTGGAGGCTTTACTCGTGGCTCGTAATGCCGTGGGTGTTACCTACTTGATCCCGACTACAGATCAACGCCCGTGGTCACCTCCGGTTGGATATCAATGTGTCTACGAGTCTTACTTCGAGGGGGATACCAAGCTTTGGTTTCCGTTGCCTCGCCTCGTGACATCGTATGTTTCTCGCCGGGAGCTTGCCTTGAGTCAGTTGGTGAACGGAGCGTTCCGCATCATGGTTGCTCTTATAGTCATGGCTGCTGAGGTCGGGGTTTCCTTGTGTGTTTACGCGTTTGAGCAGCTGACGACCATATCTCGGTTAAATCATTACTGGTCATCCGGACAAGACACCGAACTGGCAACGTTCCTACTTCTTCGTTAAGTCTGACCATTTTGCCTTCATCGACCCTCCCAACGACGAGTTTAGGACTTATTGGAACGGTGTAGCGGGTAGTTAGCTCGTCTCGATCGCTATTTATATGTCCTTAGTCTAACCGTGTTTTTCCTTGGTGCAGAACCTTATCCCAATTTCTACCTGACTGACGCCGCTGTTCCGCCTTCATTTCTCTCTACTGCTCGAGCCTTGGTAGAACTGGGTCATCGCAAGTGGCCTGATATAAGTGAGGAGAGAATTCAACACGCACTAGATCACATCAACCGAGGTAAGGAAGAGCACACTTGAGCTTTCCTTTGTCTCTTGTGTAGCATCTTTGCCTAAGTTGTTTCCTATGCAGGTGATGGGGAGAAGGAGTTCCGATACAAGGCCAAACCCGGAAAGAAAAGGTCAAATCTTTTTACTGAGGAGGAGCAGCAAATTATTAAGCAGGCATTCGCGATGAAAGAGCTTCCGGATCTCTCTAAAGCCCTCGAGGCGAGGCGAGGTGAGTCGTGCGATCGAGAGGCTTACTGTCTCTCCCCGCTGGTGCTTGCCTCTAAGTACATTGATGAGACGATCCTCAGCTACATGATGGCCGGTTATGACAGGAATTCGGTCGATGGATATGATCCAAACAGATCAAACATGAACGAAACGGTCCCTGAGATCGCTGCTCGACTTCGCTCTCCTGTTCATTCGGGTCGCGTCTGGCAAGTCTCCGACTCTTCCGAAGAGGTCGACGTGTCGGGGCTCGACGGTTCTGGGGATGGGAAAGACAAACCCCTCGAGAGTGACAAGGCAAGGGCTGATCCGACTGTGCCGGATGAAGATCAGGGCACGAGTTGGCAGGTCGCAGGTCGTTCCCCCTCGTCAACAAATGCTTCTCGGGCTCGGGAGACCAAAGCTTGCGATGATGACGACAATGCTGCGACAGCTCAGAAGTAATTCTTGATGTAATAAGTTCTCTCTCTTTTTTTTTGTTTACTCCGCGTGTGGAGTTGTTATCGGCCTTAATCATGTATTCCGTTGGAAACCTTAGACTCGTTTTATTATTCACCTTGGAGGTTTTATTTTTAACAAAGTCTTTGTTTTGCTGGAATTCATAGGTTCATTTTGCCTTAGCGTATTTTTTTGTTGAATTTAGAGTTTTAGATTGGCGAGTGCTCGT